TTGTGGAGAAAAATATGTACATACATTCCATAGTTCCATTCTCAGTAATAATTTTTTATTCTTGAATAGTAATTTTTGATTCTTTAATCAGTAGAGAGCATCCCAGCCCTCCTTCGAGAACTCGTATTCCCTACTCGCGCATTTCACTAAAATTGGCTGTTAGTCCTTTAATTAGGGACGATGCTTGGCATTGCACAAACAAAGTGTTCAGCGCACTTGAATTGCATGCGACATTAATTGAACTCCTCCATTTGAACTGTTTACGCGCAGTCCTGCTGCTTGTCGAGATGAAGAGGATGCAAGGAAATTAGGTGGACATAGTTGTGTTGATGTGTATGCCAAAGGCCTAGATGTGGGGATGGGCTTGAATTCTTTAAATGTTGCAGAATGAATGAATATATAAATGATTTAAAGAATGAATGGATTAGATGGGCGAATAACTAAAAAGAGCGAAAATAACATCTAGCGTCATTAGCGTGTACAATGCCCTTCCTTGAAAATTTGAATCTTAAATGCCGGTTCATTAATGCGCAGGAATTTATTGAAAGTCCTAAAAAACAGCTAAAAGATTGCTTGTTTTCATAGTATAAATATGCGTTTTTATAAAGAGAACTTTCGGGCTTACTTGAAAATCCAGGTGGACATTCGCACACAAACGTCTTCAGCGTTTTCACCGTCCTTGCTATGAAATTGTCAGTTTGATAAACCTGGAAAATTCAATATTCTTAATTTTAGTGATGAAAAGGTCTGACATACATCAACGGCATCCACGTGTTTGAGCGTTTGCCGACATTTCTGATAGTAAGGACAAGGCTCCTTTGCGCAGCTCTCATCTCGTACCACTTCCACTTTCATCAGCGATAGACGTTCGATTTTCTTCACTTCAGATCTTAGAAGATCCTCCACTTTCCAGGACCTGCAAAAAATTTCATCACTGCCATCTTCTCAGATGCCCTTTCCTCCTAATCTCTATCGTCGCATCTTTCCAAGTAATATGCTACTGCCATGCGACACCTAGCATATGGCGCGATTGCGGAAACATGAAACTAAGTCACGAGAAGGATTTATGATGAAGATCCAGACCTCCTTGACTGCACGACATCAACAGATTGTGCCTAATTACTCAAAGCGGTCCTCCAAGGTATATCATACAGAATAGAAGGATTTGATGTAAATATTAGCCATATAATGAGTCTTCAAGATGAAGAATAATGGTTTAAGACTGATTGTTGAAATTGTGATTGAAGAAAGCTGTACAATTTGATAGGGGGTAATTGGTAGAAAAAAGGTGAAATTAGCTAAAACAGGAAGAGTTTACGCGTTGTGCAACTACCTTAACGATAACGAATTCATCTGTGGCTTGTTTCGCCTTTTAACAGTTACATTATTACTTGTATATCAGTGAGGAGTTGCACAGGCTTTGAAGGAGATGTTTGTCATTGACGCTTGAATTGGGAGTGAAGCCAGTTCTCTTAATTTGTCTTACTGTTGCAAATGCAAGCAGGATTCATTGCTTTCGTTTTTCTCCTTCCCGTTACGGCTTATCTCCTACCTTAGTCGAAAAATCAGTACTGTTTTTGTTTTGATCGTCGGACTAGTTCCCTTGTGGTAATTGAAATCAGTCATTAACACTGTTGACTCGTCGTTATAATAATA